TATAGGGCCACCAAACGCGTGAGGGGCGTACGGGACCACGAAGCGCTGTACTCACTGGCTGAAGCGCAAGGAGAAAGAGCTGTGCTGGGTGGTGGCTGACGCATGCGGACGGTCCCACAAGGATTCGGTGGAGCTCCCTATGGGGCCACGAAGCGCTGTACGAACTGGCTGAAGCGCAGGGAGCAAGGGCTGTGCTGGGTGGTGGCTGGCGCATGCGGACGGTCCCACAAAGGCATTCGGTGGAGTTCCCTATGGGGCCACGAAACGCTGTACTGGGTGGGTGAAACGCAGGGGACAAGGGCTGTGCTGGGTAATGGCTGACGCATGCGGGCAGTGTTACTGGGACCTTCGGTGGAGCTCCCTACGGGACCACGAAACGCTGTACTGGGTGGGCGAAACGCAGGGAGCAAGGGCTGTGCTGGGTGGTGGCTGATGCATGCGGGCGGCCCCACTGAGACCTTCGGTGGAGCTCCCTACGGGACCACGAAACGCTGCACTAACTGGGTGAAACGCAGGGAGCAAGGGCTGTGCTGGGTGGTGGCTGACGCATGCGGGCGGTGCCACTGGGACCTTCGGTGGAGCCCCCTATGGGGCCACGAAAGCGCTGTACTGGGTGGGCGAAACGCAGGGAGCAAGGGCTGTGCTGGGTGGTGTTTGACGCTGCGGGCAGTGCCACTGGGACCTTCGATTGAGCTCCCTATGGGGCCACGAAACGCTCCACTGGGTGGGTGAAACGCAGGGGGCAAGGACTGTGCTGGGTGGTGACTGACGCATGCGGGCGGTGCCACTGTAAGCTTCGGTGTAGTTCCCTGTGGGGCCACGAAACGCTGTACTGGGTGGGCGAAACGCAAGGAGCAAGGGCTGTGCTGGGTAATGGCTCGCGCATGCGGGCGGTGGCACTGGGACCTTCGATGCCCTTTATGGGGCCACGAAACGCTGTACTAACTGGGTGAAACGCAGGGAGCAAGGGCTGTGCTGGGTGGTGGATGCGGGCGGTGCCACTGGGACCTTCGGTGGAGCCCCCTATGGGGCCACGAAACGCTGTACTGGGTGGGCGAAACGCAGGGAGCAAGGGCTGTGCTGGGTGGTGTTTGACGCTGCGGGCAGTGCCACTGGGACCTTCGATTGAGCTCCCTATGGGGCCACGAAACGCTCCACTGGGTGGGTGAAACGCAGGGGGCAAGGACTGTGCTGGGTGGTGACTGACGCATGCGGGCGGTGCCACTGGGACCTTCGGTGTAGTTCCCTGTGGGGCCACGAAACGCTGTACTGGGTGGGCGAAACGCAAGGAGCAAGGGCTGTGCTGGGTAATGGCTAGCGCATGCGGGCGGTGGCACTGGGACCTTCGATTGAGCTCCCTATGGGGCCACGAAACGTTGTACTAACTGGGTGAAACGCAGGGAGCAAGGGCTGTGCTGGGTGGTGGCTGACGCATGCGGGCGGTGCCACTGGGACCTTCGGTGGAGCCCCCTATGGGGCCACGAAGCGCTGCACTGGGTGGGCGAAACGCAGGGAGCAAGGGCTGTGCTGGGTGGTGTTTGACGCTGCGGGCAGTGCCACTGGGACCTTCGATTGAGCTCCCTATGGGGCCACGAAACGCTCCACTGGGTGGGTGAAACGCAGGGGGCAAGGACTGTGCTGGGTGGTGACTGACGCATGCGGGCGGTGCCACTGGGACCTTCGGTGTAGTTCCCTGTGGGGCCACGAAACGCTGTACTGGGTGGGCGAAGCGCAAGGAGCAAGGGCTGTGCTGGGTAATGGCTAGCGCATGCGGGCGGTGGCACTGGGACCTTCGATGCCCTTTATGGGGCCACGAAACGTTGTACTGGGTGGGTGAAACGCAGGGAGCAAGGGCTGTGCTGGGTGGTGGCTGACGCATGCGGGCGGTGCCACTGGGACCTTCGGTGGAGCCCCCTATTGGGCCACGAGGCGCTGTGCGGGTGGGTAAAACGCAGGGAGGAGGGAGGAGGGGGAGCAGGGAGGGGGGGTAGAGGAGAAGAGGAGGAGGGACGCGGGGACCGTCTCTTCAAAACGAGGACCCAACACCACAGGATGGCTGGGAAATCATCAAAGCATCCTGAACAATATGAAAAATCGTCCCCAAACTATGTTTTGATTATTTGTTGATGTTCCTCCTGTAGAAGGACGCGCCCGACTTCCGCCGAGAAAAAGTAAAAACCCTCCGTCGCATCTTCTCCACAACCAGGGGATGTCAGGGTCCTCCCCGCCCCGCCCGCCCGGGCGCGCTGACGCAGATTCCTGCTCAAGTTGCCCGCTCGGGCACCAGTGGGAGCTCATCTTCTCAGGAAGCTCTGTATTCGAAAAGCGAGGTAATCGCGGACACCTTATCCGTATAGTTATCGGTTCCTCTCTCTCTTCCTCCACTCGGCGGCGAGCCTAAAGGAGATGTGAATGAGCTGGGGTTGGCCTTCTCAGAGGCTCGGAAGGTCTCTGGTCCCATGAAAACTTGTCTAAAGCTTCCCCCGAAGACGCACAACAACTTCTCAGAAGGCTGGAGAGTCTCCGAAGAGCCCCCCCGCCATCTGAGTTGGCCTTCGCCTCCTCAACCCCCCCTTGGGAACGCCGCCGCATTCGGTCTTTGGGTCATGGCCCGGCTCTCCGGTGGCCGTTCGGGGCGACCCGGGCTACCCCGAACGTTCTCGGCGAGGCGCAGCCGCTGGAACGCATCCCGAGGGCGGAAAGCCGCTTGGAAACGATGAAGACTGCCGAACGCCACCTTCGTTCGCCGCCGATCTGCGCGCGCAGGCCCCTCCCTCCGGAGACTGCGGGGCCGACCGCCTGCTGCTGGTGCTGCAGCGGCGCGTGCGCCGGCTGCTGGCCCCAGAGCTGGAGCTCGGGGCCCGGGGCGCCGAGGCCCTCGCCCAGCATTGACCCCACCTTGGCAGGCACGAGAAGGAGGGGCACGAACTCATGAAGGTTTCGGGAAAAGGAGGGGCAGGACGAGGAGGAGGAGGAGGAGGAGGAGGAGGAGGAGGAGGAGGGGGAGGGTATGGAGGAGGAGGGGGAGGAGGAAGAGGACGAGGAGGAGGAGCAGGAAAAGGAGGAGGGGCGAACGATGCAGTCGGGGCGCACCGTGTGGTTCTGGAAGGGCGCCCGACGGCCCGACGCCGCCGCGCACGGGCTCCGCGAGAGCTTCTGGGCGGATCGAGCGGCAGCACGAACAAGGAAGAGGAGGAGGAGGAGGAGGAGGAGGAGGAGGAGGAGGAGGACGAGGAGGACGAGGAGGAGCTTCTGGGCGGATCGAGCTTCTGAGCTTCTAGGAGGAGGAGGAGGAGGAGGAAGAGGAGGAGGAGGAGAAGGAGAAGGAGGAGGAGGAAGAGGAGGAGGAGGAGGAGGAGGAGGAGGAGGAGGACGAGGAGGAGGAGGGGTTAGGCTAGGTTAGGACAGCCCCGAGGGGAAGAGTCTCGCAAGACTAGAACAAAGGGGGGGACATGGCACCCCTCAGAGAGGGCGTTGTAACCCTGGAGGACAGAGCTCCCAACGCTCTGACCAGGGCCCGCGACAGGGTGCCACCGCCCAAAACTATTCCTCGGCCCTCATAGCCTCCTTGGCCCGCACTCGTTCGGCGAGGGCGGCCAGCCGCCGCTCATACTCGGGGACGGTGGGGGCACTCGAAAAGGCCGAATGCACTGACGTACGAGCCAGGGTCTTACAGCGCGGCTTGGGGGCCACAGACATTGCAGCGACCGCCGTTGCTCGATCGATGAACTGGCGCACTCGGCTGCTGGGGCCCAGTCCTCGCGAATTCTTGCTGAGTGTTGCACGGCCCTTCCTAGAGGGTCGATGGCACTCCTTATCCAAGTTGCGGGAGCACCTCTGAGCCCAGCATCCGCACCGAACACACAAAAAAATAAAAAGGTTCGCCTTAGTCCTGGAAGGCCTTGGGGCTCTGGGGTGGATCTCAAGAGAGGCCACACCGACAACGAGGTGCCCCAGGGAACGGCGGACGACCATACGAACGAACTCGGGGGCCCCAGAGCAACCCAGGGCCTCTTGGGGAGCCCCATCATGGGCAACCACCAGACAGTGCTTACACTGGATACCCAGCGGCCCACTCTCCCATTCATGCCATCCTGGGGTGGACTTGACTGAGCGGTGTCGGGCGAAGGGCCTCTCGCGCTTCGCTCTCGACTGGAATACTGGCAACACGCTGGCAACGAACTGGACAAAGTGACTGGCGGTTTTGACGTCAGCCTCTAGACGATTGGCCGCTTCAGGACAGATGGGAGCGTGCAACTTTAAAGCCTCTGTCGCATGCAAGTCAGCGGCGCGATTACCTTTTCGCGAGACATCGCTCTGCGGGCGGCAAGTTATCGATCGATCCCTCGCTTCGATGTGCCTCGACATGCTGGATAGACTCAACGTGGCCATGCCCGCTAAACGAGCGGGCGAAAGCCGAGACCCCTGCAAAAAACATTGCTCGCACGAAGCTGTTCGCGCTCTGGGAGAGGGGCCTGGGCAGTGGCAGCTTTACAATCGGCATGCATACACGCACTGCGATCGGCAATCTGACGAGCAACAGCAACCGATAATTTTTCTCACACATAAGGACAATGATGAAGCCTGTCGCTAAACTCAAACCTCAAATCGTCAGACATCTCATTGCGATCGGCTAACGAACTGGGCAGAACGGCGGAGCCCAAAAGACGAAGAAGTCGAGAACGACGGAGTCGGAGCCTGATGGCGCAGCAGTCGTGGAAAAACATTGTGCACATGCTGCGACAGTGCGCAAGGCTGAGACTCCACAAGAATTCAAAGAAGTGGGCGCTCAGAAGCAGTCAGATGGGAGCGCGGCCCCCCCACCTCAGAGCCCAAGATCCCACCACTCCTCATCGGCGCGCGCCTCCGAGCACGGTGGTCCCAGGGAGCCAGAAACAGACCGGGAAAAGAGACAGGCCAGTTTTCCTCGGCACGATGCGGCGCGAGCCGTTATCTGGATGCTGCGGTCAAACCAATTCGCGCCGCGCTGGCTGATGCACTTACGCAGACGGCTCCTCCATGAGTTCGCGCGCCATAATGCCACGCTGACCCCGAGAGAGAAACTAATGCGGCCACCACTGGCTTTGACCAGTTCTCCAATGAGCGGCTCAAGGTTCATGACCTTGCCCCTCTGCTGGTAGTGCGCCGTCGGCATCTCGAGTGGCGTTAGCTGGTCTAGAGGATGCTCTTCTGTCTCCGCTGCCTCGAGCATCTCGTTGGCCGTGGCCTCTTCGTCTGGCAACAGTGTCGCCCCGCGCATGCTGGACAGAAGACATGTATCGGGCTTGCTCGGCGGGTCGGAACACGGGGGCGCTGCTGTCTCTCGAACCCAGCGGCCCGCGAGGTCTGGCCCTCATCTTTCCGTCATTTTCATCGCTCTGTTGACGACGAGCTGCAGACGCGATATCCCGGCCGAACTGCCCTTGCACTGCCAGTTGTCTGAGACGCTGAGAACCGCGTGGATGGACTGGCAAGCTGGCGAACCAAGATTGCCTCTTGGGCATTGCTGCCGTGCTTTGGCGTACTCCAGGTAAGCTTTGCTCACGCCTGCGACTATCTGATGCTGCCTGTCCAAGATTGCCGCGCCCGTGGCTTCGCGCTCCAACGGCCTCGCTCGCGCCTCCAACTGATCGGATTTATTCCTCGCCATGATGATCGTGGAGACGTCGCCCGCGCCCGCGCCCTCATGTCCACCCTCTTCGCGCGTTTTCTCGGCGTTGCCACCTGCTGCTGCGAAGCTCTGAGTGCGGCCCCGGATCAGCCGAGACTTCGGCTTCTCTCACTCCATCTCCTTCATGCCGTCGGGCGCGCAGGACTAGCCCCCAATCTGGATCAAGTTGCTCGGCGCAAGACGTTCCACTTCGGGGAAACAGGGAGCTGGGCTGCCCCAGCGCTTCGCGCACCCCTCACTGACGCACACGCGAAAAGAAGGGGATACAGAAGCCCCAGACAACCCCGACAATTCTTGCACCAAAATGCGGAATCGCCGAAACTCTCGTCACACATCGGGCACGTCGCACTCTTGGGCGGGACCGCTTCGCGCGCGCAACGTCTGCGGCCGCGCGGGCAACGCAGCCCCCTCTGACTGTCGGACACATGCTTCTCGGCAATCCCATCGCCGAGGACTGTGTTGTCGCGCAGTGCACGTGCATTCGAAATTGCAAGTCTGCGCCCACGCGCAGTCACCCATGGCTGCCACCTACAGCACTGCCGATGCGCTCGGTTAGCAGGTGTTGCGTAGGTCACGTAGAGCCACACGGAGATCCACCCGCTAAAGCCCCCTCGCGCATGCTTTGCCCCTCCACCTCAGCCTATAATTTCGCGCTGCACGTTGCCGCGGCGAGGAATTGAGCTCGAAGTTCGTTAACATTTATACTGCCGTAATCCTCGTAGCCCTCGAATCAAACGCCCCTTGCCTCACTCCCGTGCTCTGCCATGGAAGCACCTGCCCCCGCCTCTTTCAGAGCCCCTAAGTCACGCTCAGGCTGATGGGCCCAAGGACGGGCGCGGGGGCGGCGCGACCCTTCCCCCGCGGGGAAAATCCTCATCGAAAGGAAACTGTCCAACACGAGTGGACAACAAATGGACGCGCTGACCTCGGCCCTGCGCCAGATTCTGGAACCGCTTCAATCGACGCGCGCGAAACTCCGTGAGAAGAGGCGCCAAACGGAATGGTTCAAAACCTCAAGTCCGCCCATGACGCTGAGATGCTGAATATCAACGCCCCGGGTCGCAACGCCGCTGAAAATTGCGCGCAATAGATCCTGCGAGAGCGGCCAGATCTCCACATGTCTGGGCACATGGCCCGCCGCGCGCATCTCGAGACCAACGGACGCAACATTCGCGAGCGATCCCTGAACCGAGGACCTCTTCATCCCGAAGATGCAAGGCGACCTCCAGCAACTCCCCATCGAGACGTTGCTAGCGCGTGGAGCTCGCAATCGCATGTCCTATTCCGGCTGAGCTGCGAACGCGCTTGCTCGCAGCCCCCGCGAGGCCGTCGCTCCCGGGGGGCTCGACCTCCGCGGCGCGGACCCATTTTTCCCCGCGCGCACGAGCCAGCAACTGCCATCTGCAACAGCAGGCCGAAGGTCGTCGCGAGGACCAAGGCGGCCCCGACGTCGCGGGGGGGCGCGCCTTCAAGCGGGCGAAGCCAGACCGTGCAAGACTCGCCAGCAAGCACGAAAACGCCCTTGAACACTCTACATCGCGCAAACTGTAAGTCTCGATCGGCATTCAGCGTCGGCAACATGTTCAATAGAGGCTCGTTGTCCAGGCTGGCGAACGCGCCGGAAGCCCCATGCAACCTCGCTGCGTGTGATTGTCCAGCGCCTTTGAATCTACATGATGATACAGATTGAGATGATTAAATGCGCTTCGCGCCGACGTTTCTTCAGCCCGCCCTGCGCCCATTCCTCGGGCCGCCGCGGGCCCGACTTCCTCCGCGGCACTGCCGCGTGATGAGGGCGACCGACTCCGCGCGTGACCACGATGACCTGCTCGCCGCCCACCTCAAGCTCGTCGCCCCCCCCGGCAAGCAGGCGCCTTGAGCGGCGCGCCAGGCAAGCGAAACTCGTCGCGGCTTCCGCGAGGGAAAATAAAGCGTCGAAGCAAGCCTTGCGTCACCTTGGGCGCTTCATACTCTGGTTGTCCCCCTCCGATTCTGGGGCGAGGCAGCGGTCGCCCCGGGCGGGCCCACTCCGGGCCCGCAGCGAGCCGTCGAGCCTCCACGGGGACAGACCACGCTAGGCAAGCACGTCGCAATTTCACACTTAAAATGGTCAAAGTGCACGCCGTTCTAGCCGCGGGTGGGAAGCACAATTGCGTCGACGTCGGAGCGCAGCTTGCTGTTTTCATGCTTGACCTCGTCGGCGACGGCGTCAAGGTCAGCCCCCACTGCAGAGCAACCTCCCGCGTGACTGGGTAGCTTCACTCTGGCGAGCCATCCTGCAGCGCTGGCGGTCGAAGTAGGGGGGGGAAATCATGTTGCCTTGGACCTCGTCGGCGGCCAGCAATAAACCTCTCCAGCCGCTGTGCTAAGTATCCATCGTTACCATTTGCAGCGTGTCGCATATATTCGCATCGGCGCTTCGTAGTAGCATCCTACTGCAAACAAGTGGATTGTTTCAAATCCTTGCTCGCCTGCTTGATCGAAGTTGAAAGAGACTCAGGTTGTCCATCGCTGTCTGCCTACGACCGTCGATAGCGAAGCGAGCTCCTGAACTCAAGCAAAAAGTTGAGATGTTGCGTCACTTGTTGTCTGTATTCCGTGTAAGGAGCGCCAGCGTGTAATACGTCAACCAATGAACTGTTCATTATATACACGCAGCGCTCACTCATACCAACTAAGTCTTTGGCCGCCTCAATATCATCCGGATCGTTGCGCTGTTCCGCGCATTCGTCCCATCACATTGGATTACTGTTGCCGAACATGCCCCTGCTGCAAACAACAGAAACGTGTTTCGCGATCTGGCCGAAGAGTTTTCCCAGGGAGCGGGCGCAATGACGTTACAACACATGCAACATTTTGGACTGGACTGTGGTTTCTAACTTCTCCGACATCATGAAATTAACGTCGTCGGTCAGCTTCATACATGAGAAGAGCGCTCGATACAAGCTACCATTTCCATTGGAACACAGATATGACCGATGTAGGTCGCACTGTTAATTCCGACGTAGCTCGGCGGGTTCACGTAATGTGTGTTCGCGGCGGCAAGTCCCCATCCAGCCAGACACGGTCGTAACTATTGCGTCGCGAAGCTCTCCTTTCCATACCCACGGGGCCCTGCAACGCGATCTTCTGCTGAGCAGGGGAGTCCACCATTGAAGTCCACGAAAGTCGTCTGAATGATCTGTTTCGGGAGCACTTCTTCCATAATCCATTGACACCATTGCACCATTGTGCGGCAAGGCTCCTCGTAGGTTGTTCTCAATGTTGTGTTCGTGTGGCGAGGAAGAAACGACATGGCAACTGGAGGAGGAAGAATGGGGGAATGGGGGAACACCGCGGCATGATCACCAGGAGGAGGACCCAAACGTGGAGGCGGCCAGGGGGTCTGAACGAGAGCGTTTATCATTATTCGCGGCGATAACGGGCGTTATGGGAAGGGGGGCAAGGCTATGGGGCGGGACTGGGGCATAACGTAAGGCCACCGCCCCCTACCGTGACAGACTGCTTCCAGACGCACTGGGGGGGGGGGGGGGGGGGGGGGCGTTTAAGTTGCTGGGGGAAGGGAAATAAGGGGGCCGCAACGCGCGCTATGGCCCAGAGACAAACCCAAAGACTCTCAACTGGATAAGCCCCGAGAGAATCTGGCAAAAAAAAGAGACGGGCAAATCTGCTCAAAATCGGGCCCTGGACCCCCACAGGGGCCCATGCGATACAACTGTTCATCCCAAGTCTGTTTTAGACGGTCCTGGGGCCCGACAGCGGCCTCTGGAGGCCGACGAAAAACAAAAAACCTTCTCGAACCCAGTGCCTCGAACCTAGCACCCCCTTCCTGCTCGCAGGAAGAAAGAATGGGCCACCTCAGCCCCCCAGCCGACTCCAAGGAGGGGAGCCCCATCGCGCCGTGGAAAAACATGAACATGACGGCCTGGTTTTGGTACACAATCGGCTTCCGAGGTGCCCGTTGCAGCTTGGCGGAGCCCCCAACACCTGCCAGGCCAGCCGGATGGCGTTGCACCAGCTCTGGCCCACCTGCGCCAGCGCGCCGCCGCGGGTGGCCATCGTGTGCGCCCTGCCGGAAATTCCCCAAATGCGCCTCCTCGGTCGTGCCCACAGGAGGTAAGGAAAACGAGGACCATGACCAAGAGTGAACACGGATACGTCGACGTCGACCTTGGCCATCGTCTGTCTTGGTCATGGTCGGTTCGTGGATCACCCACGCGAATCGGCGACGGCCAGCATGGGCCACGACCACGGTCGGAATCGACTAGATTCTGCGACCTCTTGGTCATGGCCACCGTGATTATTCCCTGGAGTCTTCTCCCCCTCTCCCCCCAGGTAACAAAGCTCAAAGATCTAGAATCGATGTCATCGGGCTTCCTTGGGGGATCCTGTCTGGGGGCCTGAAGGACACCCTTGGGAACCCTCCGGGGACGTCTGGGGACCGTCGGGGCCCAGAGGAGGAGGGGGACCACCCCTTATCCCTGCGACTTCCCCCCTCGCCTCCCTCGTTTCCTCCCTCCTCCCCTATCCTCATCTTTCATTTCATCATCCCGAACTTCCAACGCCCGATGGGGGGTGGGTGCGGGGAGGGAGAAGCATGACTTGGAGGAGGGGCTGAATACGGTCGAAGGCAAAGAAGCACGGAGGAATACATTTGCAAGCGCGGTTTTGGAATCTAGAGCGAATGTGAATGGTAGTTCGCAAGAGATCTAGGAACGATAGCAAAATTACCTAAGCGCGCTCTTTTACCGAACTCGAGGCGTCCAGGAATTGACAGGCGCTCCACGCGTGCACAGGGTTAGAGGCTCACCTCGTCATTACCTATAGGACAAGATCCGCACACAAGTCGTTGGACAAAAACCATTGACCTTACTCCCAAAATTATCAGCTGAGGCGTGCAAACCTGCGTTGAGCGATTTGCGAATTCAACTCTGACACCGCCGCTCGCCCCGCACCATGGCTCTCGCATTGACGCTGGTCTCGTGCCGCGTGCAACGCGGACGGACTACACGCAATTCTTGGTGAGTAACCACTTTGTTGCGCGCGCGCGCGCTCGCGCGCGCGCCTCGCGCTTCGCCCGCAGCGGAGGCGCGCGCGATGGCACCGGCGCGCGCGCATCTCCAGCGCGCGCCACTCCCGCCGCGCGCCACGCGCACCCGCACCAAAGCATCAGCGCGCGCGGGCCCACAGGACGCGCGACGACAAATCGCCTGACCAAAAACCGCGTGGCAAATTTGCCCCGTGGCCCGCAGTCCCCTTGAAGTTACCATGCAAAGGGCGCGTCCCCACTTTCTGATGCGCGTCTTCCACAATCATTGCGCGGTCGCTACTTCGGATTTTGTCGCGGCTCTGCGCCGCGGGCGGCTCTCGTCGTCGCCCGTTGTTTCTGTTAGTTGGCAATTTCTGCTTCGTCTGAATTTGTCGCCGGCCTCCTTTTTGTCGCCAGAAGTGCAGCTGTCGTCGCCCCTTTTGTCTGTCGGCGGTGTCTTTGTTTTGTCGACGGTTCTGCCTGGCGCCCTGCACGGTCGGGCTCGGAATCTCCCTTCGGGCTCTTCAGCACGCTCGGGGCCCTTCGCGGCCGGATCCAGCGCCCGTGCCTCTCGCGATCCGCGCGCCCCTGCCATCCCGTCTGGAAGCGACGCCCAGGCGCTGCCCATGGAAGTTCGCCTCTTGGTCCTCGCCGACCCCCTCGAGAGACCGCGCGCAACCGCAGGGGGGGGGGCAACGCTATTTGCGACGCGCGACGAGCGACGCGGCTTTATTCATACATGCAAATGAATGCGATCCAAAAATGTTCGCCGTTCATCGCTTCGCGACCCCGCGGGAACGGAGGGGGCGAGAGGGCGCCGACGCGCCGAGACCGACGTGCGCAAGTGCATTCATGCGCGGTCGCTCGCAACGCACGTCAATGATGCACTGCGCTGCGAAGCCTCTCGCGCCGCGTTTCACCCGTCGCGCCGACCGCGCGCTGGGGCGCATTACGCTGCACGGACGTTGTCGCGTGCAGTGCGTGCGCCCGCGTCAACGCGGCAACCCCTCGCCGCGCGCATCCGTCGAAATTCGCCCCCGCCGCGCGCCCCCCGGCGGCCCGGCGCGCCAGCTATGTCGCCGCCCGCCAATCAATGCGCGGGGGGGTATCCATCAGACCCCATGGAAACCCAAAAGCGTCGGACACCTGTTGCCGCGATGACCGACGGGAAGCAGGACATCCCGAAAAGACTGGGCATCTTCCATATCAGTGCACGCTCACATTCAGAGGCCGCCCCAGCGAAGGCCGAACGAGGCCGCAGGACACGCCCAGACGGCCAAAATATTCCAACGATCTTCCCCGAGAAGGCCCCGCGGAACCACGGCGCCCACGCGCGGCCTGACATCCCCGGCGGCCGCCCCGAGGCGCGTTCCAGAGGCCCCCACGAGGCCCCCCAGAGGGCCCCAATCTGCGCCCAAGCGGCCCCGTCGACGCCTCGAGCTATTTTCGAAATAAAACTGGGGCGGCCACGAAGCGAGCCTGCAGAGCCGGGGCCGCGCCACGCTACGGCAACACCATTGCCTCCCAAAGGGCGCCGGGGGGCTCCTGCCGCGCCTGCTCAAGAGAGCTCGGCACGCCGACCGCGCATCGATCCAGCTCGGCGGCGAGGCTTCTCGGCGGAGCCCAACTGCGAGACAGCGACGAGGCCGGAGCCCGGCCCGCCCGGTGCCGAGAGGGAGGGCACGCGAGGGGGGGCTGGCGCCGCGGCTACGCGACGCGCGACGGGGCGACGGGCCGCGCGCGACGCAATTGCTCGCCCGGCCCCAGGGCCACTGCCCACGCCCGAACAACCCCGAGATCCGACGACCCGGAAAAAAGCAGCACCGCGACTCGCGACAAATCGCGCGACTGGACCTCTAGACCCCGTCTCTCTCTGCTACATTTCTTTTTTTATATATATATATATATAGATATTTTTTTTAATAATAATAAAAAAAAAAAAAAAAAAAAAAAAAAAAAAAAAAAAAAAAAAAAAAAAAAAAAAAAAAAAAAAAAAAAAAAAAACGGTATGCGACGGCCCCGGGGCCCGACGCGGGGCGAGCGCGCCGCCCGCCGCGACGAAGCTGCGGCGCCCGGGCCCGACCGCGCACGAGACTGCCCGCGCCCGGGCCCCGTCGCGCGATTGCGCTCCGCAGCTCTCCGCGCCCGCGCCGCCCACCCGCCGGCGCCCAGGCAGACGGCGAGGCAACGGTGCCGCGCGCGCGGGGCTGCACGCGAACGGCCCCCGAGGCCGGAGTGTGCTGTGGCGGCGCGGCGTGCCGATCGCTGCGAGCGGCTCGACCATGGCGGCCCGCAGGCATCGAACAATTTGAAGGGAAACTGGGGCACACAAATAAATGCACACAAATATCCAGATTCCCCATAGTTTCCCTTATTTTCTGGGTTTTCGTCTTCCCCCCCCCACTTCCCGTATTTTCCCATATTTTCCTGGGGATCGACGATTAATTGTGCCTGTGTTTTTTTCCCTCCTGAGAATTGCTGATTTGAGGGGAGTCGGGTTCGAGCTCAAAGAGCACGCAGTCCTCTCGGGCTTGGCCCCCCCCCGCGCACAGCCCGCGCACCACAAAAGCTGCTCTGGCGAGGGCTCACTCCTACTTTCGATGGCCGGCGCCGTCTAGTGTCTTCCCAACCACAACTCGGGCTTCAGGCGACACTTCGGGACGACTCTGGCACCCCCTGAACGCTTTCGACGAGGCGCATCTCATTGAAAATATCCCAGGCCCCGAAATCCTCCGCTGACCGAACTCCGTGCAGAGTCCGTCCAGAATCGATATTGGGACTTCTCTGGGTGTCCGCCGTGGCCAGCTCATCGAGGCAAGCCCGGCCGCTGCGACGAGAACCTCCATGAGAGCCCGGTTGCTCTGACTCTGGCCTCCCGCCTGCGCGTTCGCCGTCGTCTGCTCGCTTTTCCTCTCCTCCTTCCCTCTCCGCGATGGGCAGCGACAGTGGGGGCTGGCCCAGGGGTGGGACATTGACCTGGAATCGGCGCTGCGTCGCCCATAAATGAACGATGGGCCCGCCGATAGCGGAGACGCACGTTCCTGGGCGGCGTGGGATATCTGGTCCCTACTGGCGATGATTGGGCGACTCTGAGGGTAGATGTATCCCCCTCTGAGCCAATCCCCTGGTGGTTTTCGAATCATACTTCGGGCCTCCAGCGCCCGTCTGGGACGAATCGGGCACCCCCAGGGAAGCTTTTCGGCGAGGCGCAGCCGCTGGAAGGTATCCCGAGGCGGGAAGGCCGACGAGAAGCAACGAAAAAGCTGGTAGACGTCAAAGCATGCAGTTTCGTTCGGCCCCCCCCCTGAACTTGTCCCCCGCTAGCGTTGCCGCTGACGCCGCCGCCGAGCAGCACAGACTCGCCGTGGCCGGCGGCGCGGCGCGCACGTGTCCCCCGCAGAGGACGCGCGCCAGGCAGCCTTCTGATGGTCTGGTCGACGCCCCTCAGCTTGCAAGCGACAGCCATGGGCTCCAGCACGAAGAGGACAGGCGGCGCCGCAAGCACCACGTCCCCCGACCTCGGGGCCCCCCTCCCCCCACCCCCTCCCCCAAGAGGAGGAAGAGGAGGAGGAGGAGGAGGAGAAGGAAAGGAGGAGAAGGAGGAGCAGAAAAATGTAGAGGAGGAGGAGCCTGAGAAGGAGAAGGAGGAGGAGGAGGAAGAGGAGGAGGAGGAGGAGGAGGGAGGATGGACGAGACGGAAGAGGAGGAGGAGGAGCAGGAGGAGGAGGAGGGCGGAGAAGGAGGGGGAAGAATCGAGGAGGAGGTGGAGGAGGTGGTGGAGGAGGGGGAGCAAGAGGAGCGGGAGGAAGGACGACGACGAGGAAGAAAAGGACGAGGAGGACGAGGGGGCGAAGAGGACGAGGGTGGGGAGAGGGAGAATGCAAGATGTTGGGCGGTTTCGGTCCTTTTTGGGTCTCGGAACCTCAAGACGCCTCCTCACGCCTCTAATCACATCTGGAAAACTCTTGACACAAATGTATATTCCTCTTCCTCCTGCTACTACTACTACTACTACTACTACTACTACTACTACTACTGCTACTACTACTACTACTACTACTACTACGACGACGACGACGACGACGACGACGACGACGACTACTACTACTACTACAACTACTACTACTACTGCTGCTGCTACTACTACTACTACTACTACTACTACTGCTACTACTACTTCTACTACTACTACTACTACTACTACTACTACTACTACTACTACTACCACCACTACTACTACTAACACTACTACTGCTACTACTACTACTACTACTACTACTACTACTACTACTACTACTACGACTACTACAACCACTACTACTGCCGCTACTGCTACTACTACTGCTATTACAATTATTACAACGGACTACTACTATTATACTACTACTTACTACTACTACTACTACGACTACGACTAACTACTGCTACTACTACGATAACGACTGCTACTACTACTACTACTACTACTACCTACTACTATATACTACTACTACTACTGCTTTACTGCTACTACTACACTCCTATTTTGCTACTACAACTACGACGACGACGACAACGACGACGACGACGACTTCTACTACTACTACTACTACTACTACTACTACTACGACTACTACTGCTGCTGCTACTACTACTACGACTGCTATTGAGGTTAATACCACGACTACGACTACTACGAGTACTACTGCTACTATTACAACTACTAGTACT